GGAGCAAAGAAATTTCGTCTTGTGCAAGACACACTGTGCTGAGTGTCTATATTCCTGATTCTGTCATGGCATAGAGAAAATATTTTTTGAAGAGCTAAAACCTGATTTTGTCCTGAGGTTTTATTTTTCATGTTAAATTGCTTATCTTTTAAACTGTTGAATGTATAAAATGATACCATCCTCCAGCTGGTTTTCTTAAGTCAGTGGATTTGCTTTCACAGGGACTGGTGGGATTCTAGCCTCTTCTTGCTTGTCCATAGCAATTTGGGAGCCTTCTAACAGTCTAAATTATGTGACTAATTAGGGACTGCTGTCTAAGTTGTGTGGTTGGTAAATACTAATAACAACATAGCAATGTATAACTGAGATATTGCACTAATGACCTTTAACCCCACCAGACAAGTGGACATTACAAAATGGCCCAACAAACCCAACTACCTCAGGCTCAGTTGAAACTGGCTTTCAACATCAGGACAGTCAGCTGTCCATTCAAAAAAAAAAAAAAAAAAAAAGTAGAAAACATAGCTCCACAGTAACCTGCTTTGCTGAGTTCTCTGACTTTTGCTGCACAATGTCAGGAACTTCTGCAGGTGGTATGTCCGTGATCTCTGGCAAAGGAGAGGATACGCTGCCTAGTGAGCTTTTTGGCTAGTCCTACTATGTTAGTTACTAGTTTTGCTGAGGACAAATTTATTTTCCCATTCAAACATAGGAACAGATGTAAATCCAGTGAATTTTCACAGTTGTTCAGTAGGCAGCTGCCTGCACTTCTGGCAAGAGACTCCATAATCTCCTGTGGACATCTAAAAAAATTGCTTATGCCACACTGCTGTTTTTCCCCCACACACACACATATACACAGCCTTTTAGGAAGCACCGTACTTGGAGTAAGAGGTCCAAACTATCCAAAATTCCATATACCAAAGGAGAATATGGAAAAAAAGTGCTGAAAAAATTCTGTGTCACTTCCATTTGGATTCTACATCATATAGTTTCCTAAACATAAGCACCCACTCCTGGTATGTTTTAACTGATTGTATGGTACCCCTTTGGCATTTGCCCAAATCTGAATCAGGCTGAACTCTGTTCTTGCTGAGACCATATGTCCTGAAGGCCAGGGGTGGGTTGGATGTACACTGCTGCAGCTGGAAGCAGCACAGGGCCTGCTAACTGTGCATGTTTGGGAAAAGTTACAGTGTGGAAGGATTGTCATTTGATGACTAATATCTTCTTTGATTTGCTTTTCAGGATAAGAAAGTCAAGATACAATATATGCTACATGCTTTGGGGCAGGCTTATGTAGTATCTTTGTGCCTAATGGATTTGCAAAACTTTTACAGACCTGTTTCAGTGAAAATTAAAAATGCACATAGTTCTGAAATTCGTACTGAATATCTGCACATCTTTTAAAAACTCTGTGCCTTTGTAACCTCCATAAATATCTTGTTATGTCTACTTTCTGGAGACATTTTCCTGTATGTGCCTATGTCTAAATAGTGTAATTCCCTCCAGATATGTAATGCTGGAGTAATAAATGAGTTTTGATGTGATACAACTGCTCTCAGCAGGAGGCAAATGCTAAATATTGATGCTAATACTAGAAAATAAGTTCTAAACACCAAAAAATAAATAATAAAAATACTAAATATTAAAATAAATACTACATACTCACTAGTCTAAAAATCAGAGCAGCAATCCGTCTTGTGTGTCACTACTGCACTGATAAGACATACTGGTCTCTATGTGAATACTGCAAAAGGAAGGACAAAGCTAAAAATATCTGGCTTTTGAGACCACACGATGACAGTGGGAGCTCAGGAAAGCAAGGTCTGATTCTGAAGCCAGCTTTGGAAAATCACAGTAGAATCAAACACCACACAAAATCTGGTGGGATAACAAAAATCACAACAGCTACATTAGATTATTGCACAAATATAGTTTTGGTTGAGCTGGGAAAAAAAGAAAGATACCTGGCAAACTGGAGGGTTTCTTTTACCATCTTTGTTTTCATTCCATAAAGTTGAAGCTTACGCCCTAGAGGTGACTCATAATTTGGTCTGGGTGGAGGTTTCTCTATTGGAAGTCTGGCTTTGGCCTTAAGTGTGCCACTTAAGGAGCAGAGGTGGCACAGAGTTAGGCATGGACTTTGGCTTGTCCTTCTTTGAGACACCACAGGTTTCCCAGAGAAGCTGTGACTGCACCCCTGCCTGGAAGTGTTTGAGGTCAGGTTGAATGGTGCTTTGAGCAACCTGGTCTAGTACAAGATAACCCTACGCATGACAGGGGGGTTGGAACTAGATGATCTTTAAAGGTCCCTTCTAACACAAAACAATCTATGATTTTATGATTCCCATGTCTCTGGGGTTCACTGGAGAGGTAGGTTCTGTCTTCCATTGCTGCATGTTGTAATTCAAGAACAACTTGCTTGGTGATGTCTTTCAGAGCTGAGAGTAATGTATTTTCGTCTGTGAAATCAGGAGGGACAGAGCCAACGTGACCAGGACAAGGAGCAGGAAGTGATCAGTGGTGTTCGTTTTTTTTGGAAGACCTATGATTTGTTTTTCAAGTCCTTTCCTAATCACTGGTGGAGATGTAATCTTGAGAGATGAGAAACCAGTTCACTTTTCAGTAACCTCCTGCAAGAGGAAGGAAAGGAGGTGAAGATCTTACCAGAGTAACTAACAGAATGTATCAAATCAAAATGAAATTTTAAGCCAGAAAAGCAGAGAAAATGTGAGGAAAGGCTACAATGAGGAAATTCGATCTCAGTTCTGAAGAGGGGTGAAAGGCCAAACAGAAATCCAAGCCATGATGATCTTTAATGGGAGAAAGACTGGAATCAATGTCTTTTAATAGGGACCATGAAGTGGACATTCCTGTGCGGTGGTGTGTACACCACTGAATGCTGTTCAGTACACACTCCTTGAACAGTCGTAGAGAGCTCAACCATGCTGTGACCACAGTCAAGCTCATGACATAGGTGGCACTTTTGCTTCTCCAGGCAGAAGGGCAAGGTTGTGGGTATCAGACCAAGCCCGCAGTTTTTATTCACATCCTGTGTTGCTAGTCCTTGTAATTTAATTATGACGTTTTCATGTGATTTGCACGAAACCTGGAGCTTCTGTTTAGGGTTGGTTATATCCTTGTAGCTGTATGGGAAAACCTTCACCTTCTGTGTTGCTCCTCTATGGAATATCAGGGTGGTTAAAGGGCCTATGAGCATGAGGTTTCTTCCAGCTGTTTGAGGAAGACCTCATCTACTTCTTCCTGATCAGGCAGTCTGTACAGATACCCCTCTCACATCGGTCATGTTAGTCTGCCTGCTAATCTTAGCCATAGTCTCTCAACTGGCTCATTGTTCACCCCAAGTCAGAGCTTCATGTATTTCAGCTGCTCTCACATATAGGGTAGCTCATGATCTTCACATTCTCAGCCCATCCTTCCTAAAGAGTTTGTATCCATCCAGCACAGCATTTCTGTCATGTGTGCTTTCCCACCACATCTCTGTGACCTCAATTAGATTGTTGCCCTTTAATGGCATGCAAATGTCTAATTTCTTCTCTTTGCTCCTCACACCGAGTGCCTTAGTGTACAGGCACTTCAGAAAGGTGCAACACAGTCATACTGGCTTCCCAAGAAAAGATGAGAGCTTCCCCCATGATGTCCTCTCAGCACTTCCTTGTTTGTGGGTGGGCCCCATTCTGCTCTGTTCTGTTGATTTTGAGGACTCTTAACCACATCACTCTGCACCTTTGCTTGTCAGACCAGTTGCCGTGGTTTGATCCCCGTCAGTAGCCAACCACCCTGCAGCTGCTCACCCACCCTCCTCCCCCACCTGGGAATAGGGGAGGGAATTGGCGGGATAAAGGGAGACTCGCAGGTTGATACAGAAACAGTTTAATAGTGGTATTAAAACAATGACAGCAATAGAAAATATAAATGGGGAAAGCACAATGCAATTGCTCACCACCCACTGACTAGTTCCCAGCCTGTTCCCAGCTAGCGATCCCAAAATATCAAGATCCTTCAATCACAATCCCAGAAGCAAGAGAGCCCCTTCCCGACCACCCCTCCTCTATATAGTGAGCATGACGTTATATGATATGGAATATTTCATTGGCCAATTTGGGTCTGGTGCTCTGGCTGTGCTCCCTCCCTGCTTCTTGTGCACTTGCACATGAGCAGGACATGAGGAGTTGGAGAGTCCTTGAAATCTCAGCAGCAGCTGAAAACATCAATGTGCTATCATCACTCTTCTCATACCAAACCCAATGCTGAATCCAAAACACAGCACTGTTCTAGTTAACAAAAAGGAACATGAATTTTATTCCAGCCCAAACCAGGACACCAGTCCACGACTTCCTCACTTGAATGTGAGTCCTCATCTCCCTCGTATTTTATTCCTAGTCTCCTCAGGTTGGCCAGCCTGTTAGCAAACGTTTTGTTTTACCCCACTTTCTACCCCTCCCTATCAGTCTTTGACTCCCAAAGAGGGTCCTATGGTTTTAAAACCAAACCATTTTCAGTGACACAGCTGCATAACAAGCTGGTGAACCTCCAGATCCATCCACTCCTCCTTAAGCCTTTCCACTTTGGCAGTAGGATCGAGAAAACCATCTGGGCCCCGCTGACCTCAACACTCACCCCCAGAGCCATGCAGTCACTCTTGATATGCTCAGACACTCTGCTGGCAGGATTGTCAGTGCCCATGTGGGCTAACGTCAAGGGTTAATAGTTTAAGGTAATAGTCTCAGGCTGAACAGTTCTCAGCAGTCTCTCACCAGGATCCCAGATGTTGCATTTAAGGTGAAGAATTAATTTGGTAAGAGATGAATCCCCTTGTGTTCTAGCCACTCCTCAGAGATTAGAGGGGCTACGGGCAGCTGGTCTTATCTCTTAAGAGGTATGCCAATTATTGCCGTGACCACAGGCCTGACACCAGATGCACAAACAGCCCATGTGCTGCAGGTCCAGTGCCATTCAAGAGAAGCAGTCAGGTGTACGAACAGTACAGTTTATTCTTATGCAACTTTTACAGATTCTTTGAGATTGCCGACGATAAATTCACAAACTACAGGTTGGCTATATAGCCCTACACACAAAAATGATTGCAATCACACACTTAATTCCCAGGTAATCACTCAGCATAGCTGAGGGCATAAATCTTACCAAAAAACGTCCCTCCTGGGAGCAGGAGAGGAGCACAAACCAATCGATCTGTGCTTCCAATTTGGTGTCGGATTATCGTCCCTGAGTTGAATACAAACTTGGGGTAGTAGTTATCTAGATGTGTGTGTGTGAGTGGGTGGGACTGTGGTCAATCCATTGGGTTTTTGAGTAATGAGACAGCACATTTCTTGCTACAGTTGTTGTGGGAAATGCACGCAGTTGCTGTGGGAAAAGTAGGCAGTTGTGGGAAAAGAGGAAGCACGGGAGATAGGGTCTGCAGAGTGGTGCAAAACATCCCTTGGGAAAAGGGGAAGAGCAGGAGATAAATCTATATAGGTGTGTCAAAACATTTCTTGAGAAAAGTGGAACAAGAATACGCAGCCTCCACCTTGCTTCACATTCCTCCTTGGTGCTATGACAACACAAATCACCAGATCTTCATCCTGTCCTGTGTTTGTTCTGGGCACCATGTGTTAAGGAAATGTGTATTTTGCAGTTTCTTCGCTGTTTTGCTTCTCCCACACTTCCAACACCCCCATAAAGCAACAAACCTCCCTAGAGAGCAAGTCCAGTTGCCTAATGGGCCCTCTGTTCCCTACAGGAGGGAATATTTGTAATGAAGTTTAATAATGGGCAATACTGGTTTTTAAAATAGATAGATAGATAGATAGATAGATAGATAGATAGATAGATAGATAGATATCATTAGACCATTAAAACCAATATGAAGTTCACCATATTTCTAATTGCAAATATTTATTTAAAAACATAACCTGCATATACCCACACACCCTGGTTTTTGATAGCATTACTTTTCTTAAGCGCGTATGTGGTACCTTAGAAAGATGTTTTGGCTTTAGTTTCTCAAAACATGTAAAATTAGATCACTTTTAACCTTAGTAGAAGTGGAGCACAAGGCAGAAAGAGTATTAGAATTTGTCCACACAGTAGTAGGAGTAACTTGAAACAAGTCAGTCATTCTTCCTGTGATGTTCTCTTCCACCAATCCCAACTTCAGTCTTTCCTCCACCTCTCCTTTCATTTTTCCCTTCTCTTTCATTTTCCCCCTTTTCATCAGTGACATTCTTTTTGCATCCTTCACTGCTTGCATCCAGAGCTGCTTGACCTGTACTCTTCTCTGGAAAAAAAAAAAAAAAAAAAAAAAGACAAAAAACAAAACAACCACCCATAATTCTTTGGGTGACCTTCAGTTTCTCTGGAACAATAAACTGGAAGCAAATACAAGACTTGAGGAAGTTCCTATTTTGGTATAGTTTATCAAATGTACTGTTAACAGACACAATTCCTGGGTAGCTGTGGCTACCTACTCACTTACCTATAAACTTCCTAGCAAACAATGATGGGAGTGCAAATTATACTTGTTTCTTCTAGTAAACATATCTGAGAATGTATTAATCCTGCAGTTAATACTGACTATTAGTTACTTCAGGACTGAGTTAATTGAGAGATTTGCTCATAAGGTACAAAATAAAAGCTAATTATGTTGCCCTACAGTGAAAAGAACAGGAATCAGTGAACAGAGAAGAGGGCATCAGAGCCTCTCATAGCAACAGACTGAATTGCTCAAACTAGTCTGAGTTAGGGAATTTCAGGTCATTTTAAATTGCAGATAATCATGGGAGAAAAAAGGAAGCAAAATAAAGGAACAAACAAAAACCCTTCTACCTCAAAATTAAATAGAAAGGAAAACATCACTTAAAAATAAGTTTATTGCTGAGAAAAATTCTGTCTACAGAAAGACATTCACACTTGTTCTGAATTGAATTCACTGAATCTGAATTGAATTAAATTTGGCATTTGTCATACAGGAAAGGGATTACTACAAAAAGAAGCAGTAACTTATATAATTACTAGTTAACAACCTAGCATCACCCAGCTGTATCCCTAACACATTACAATTTTAAAGACAAGGTAGTAAAACTCTTTTTTTCTAAATGAATACAATTTTTTTTTCATGTTTAAATCCTCTAGTGTACAGCTGCCATATTACCCATCATTTGTCCTTGTAGTTTGACGTCTATTCTATTCTATTCTATTCTATTCTATTCTATTCTATTCTATTCTATTCTATTCTATTCTATTCTATTCTATTCTATTCTATTCTATTCTATTCTATTCTATTCTATTCTATTCTATTCTATTCTATTCTGTTCTGTTCTGTTCTGTTCTGTTCTGTTCTCTAATACTTTGAGTCTATTTAGAGCACATATGGGTAAGCATGTATGTTTGCCATAACTTATGTCCAGTGGGAAAGACCCAACTATCCCCAACTGTTCTGCCAATTGACGGGATTGACAGAAAAGACTCAGATACCAACAGAAACAATAGACTTATTTTTCCGCCTATTGCAAAATAATACAAAACCTAAGATAACACATTTAGTCAGAATGGTAAGCTTATTACACTCTAGTTATAAGCAGTGAAGAGAATAAACAAGATAATACTCCTTAGTCCTAAAATAATATGAGAAATAATGAGAAAATAAAGCAAGACAAGGCAATGCACCTAATCATTACTATATAAAGTCAGTGATAGTGATTAAGAAAGATACATCACCAGCTGTCCTAATACTTTACCATCATCCAGATCCGCAGTCGCTGGGGAGCCCCTATTGCAGCGAGGATTTGAAGAACCCTTCGCAGCAACTGGGAGGTCCTAGGCAGTGCATCCACTCATAGGTGAGGTCTCCCAAAATCGCTGCAAGGGGGTCCAACTTTTATAGTGTTGAATAAACACGTTTCAAACTTAGAGTGTGGAAACATCTGGCATGCCCTCCCAGTTGGATTTTGCCCAAAGCCCGGTCAGGGCTTAAGGAGGAACCCAAGGCAGGGCATGTGTATCTTTTGGGGCTTTAACTACATATTTCTCAACAGGATCTGGTGTCTGGCCTCATGGCCTTACCTCATGCCTCTAAAGAAAGATCAGGTGATTGTCTATTGTTACATAATGAAATTACAATAAAGCTTTTATACCTAAATATACTAAGATAGACTAGTAATACATTATATATATGTACTACATACGATTAGTATTATATTGTGGGGTGTTGAGATTCACCTAGAAGTCAATTTCAGTTCTGGCCTGTTGTTCAGGCCTCAGTAATTCACCAACACACAGGGTTTTATATGTATCCAGATCTAAAAGTCCCATCCCAGACAACCACTAAAAGACAGATCAATCACAGAACTTCAGTGAATACAGCAGTTCTGTATCCATCTTCACATGACAGATTTCTCATCCAATCTACATGAGCATCTGATATATTTAAAAGAGTATAATTTCTAATGTGTGTAATGAAGCCTCATTTTTATCAACATAAGTGTGGTTTCCAAGAACCACAGTAGTGTGGTATCAACAATTCCATGCATAGAAGTCAGAAATCTCATTGATTTCTCTTCTAATACACAGATACAGGTGATTAAGAGGCAAGTTTGTATGGAAAGCTCCACTCTGGCTAGCCTATTAGATCTATTGTGATCCTTCAGCCTGTAAAGTTGTCTATTGATGTGCACAGCAGCTAGTCTTAGTTTTACCAAGAGTATTTCCTTTGCTCTGCACTCACTTAAAAATTCTTCTCTTGAGATTGAAAGTAATGACACAGTACCAGCTTTCTTAAAGCTGGTGGGTTTACAAAACACACAGCTATTCAAGTGCGTGAATCAAACCTTTTTATTTAAATTCCTTTGTAACACACATTTTACTGGTCCATTACAAGGAAGACATACTTAGGTCAGTACACATGCACAAACCACTCTACTCATATAGTAATGACAGTCAGACTTACCCAGCAATCCTGAGCACTCTTGCCTATGCCGCTCATTCCAGGATCTCCTTCTGCAAGTCTCACTGCAAGTGAAGACTTCATGACACCGCATGCATGGTGATAGCTGAACACCGACTGAACGCCCACACTGATAGCAGTATTTAAAGAATGGCAGTCTAGAACAAAGGTAGTTGTAAAATAAAAGCACATTATTATTTGTTTAGGGTTTTCCTCAAGCTGATAGCACGTTTGCAGATCACAGTAAAACTAAATCAACATGGCTACAATATAGAAATAACATACAACAATAATGTTCAACAATAAAGAAACAGGAGACTGTAGCTTTTCACAGGAGTCTCTGGGGAACAGACTGCACACTAACTGCAAAGCCAGCCCCCAGAAAAGCCAAGTGTCCTAGAGAGAAACACGCCCAAGCCTTTACCAAACCAACATCCACATCCTGCCATACACTATCACACTGTGTGCTTCAGTGTACTCATGACACTGGGTCTGGAGATGGCCATTTTCAAACTGGCAGGCAGACCAGATTATAGATGTCCAGAGATAACAAAGCCAAGCTGGCAAACTTTAAAAAACCCTCACAGAACCTGCTAGAATACATCAGAGACAAACAGGGACACTCACGGGCCACTTGAACCACAACAGTTATTCCAAAGTTGCAACATAAAATGAAGAGTGCTTGGGCTAAGGCTTTCAATGGGACTGGGAAGCAGAATGTTTGATCTAGGTGCAAGCTAGGCTATGTATTTACATCGTTTTTAAAGCATTTAAGAATCCCTTCCCAATAGCGAGCAAGTTTCACCGAGATTTCATCTGTCTCTGCAAGTTATTGCTGAGATCTATTTGCAAAATCTTCATGTGTTACTTTAACTTCCTGGATTTTTTTTTCTCACTTGACATTCCTCTGGCTATTTCTGCATCTTATGCTATTATTGATCCATCTCAGTTCAAGAAAAATGCTACCTCAAAATTTCTATCTTCAAAAGTGCCCCAGTTCCTGACACCTATGTTAGTTCCTCTTGATCCAAATACTGAGACAAAGTTCAGAAGCCTGTGAATTCCCTGCAGTAGGGGAAACTGATGACAGAATTCAGTATCCTTGAGGCAAGTATTTCCATTATTATTCAATCTTTTGTTAATACACAATTCCAATAATAACATTCAAATTGTACACATCATTCATGCAATTTCTGGAGAAATGTAAACTACAAAATTTGTATGGACCTATTTCTTAGTATTTGTATGCTACTCCAAGGTTCTGCAGTCATAATTGGTTTAAAACACAAAGACACATTGCTTCACACCAGAAGACTGAATATTATGCAAACTCTCATGGCAAAGTCTGAAGCTGGGAAGGAGTGATGTGATCAGAGCAGAGAGAAACTAAGTGCAGCTGATAAGTCTGGATGGACTAGAGAGGAAAATTGGAAAAGAGAAAAATGGCAGGATGACAATAGTTTTGGTGAGTGAAAAAACAAGGCATGGCATTTTTGACTAAAAACAGTCAATACTTGAATGCGGTATCTCTGCCCTACCTCACTTCTTCCACATGACAGCTCCCTCCTTTCTTCTTTGAAACACGTGTATGAACGGCTGAACCCACTACACCAACAGAAGAGGCCGTGGGGGAAAACAAAAAATCAGTATTCTGCTTGAGATTTAGAATACTAGTCACAAGATTCACCTTTGTAAAAAGTCTGCTTGGCCCTGTCTACTGTATAAAATTTGAAGATACATAATAAAATGCATCTTCCAGCAATAAGCTTCAGAAGCCAAGAAGAAAGGAGCCAAGTTGCTACGTCACAGCCAAGAGAAAGAAACCATACAGGTAATTTACTCTTACTTCCTGCTTGTGGCAAGCTACAAAGCCACAGGTTATGCTGAACTGCAAAGGTAACAATCTTATATTCAGAGTTCGCTTCCCAAGCGGGATGCATCTTTTGCCCCAAAGACTAGTATTCAGAGACCTGGATTCTAAGCCTGATTTCACCACACATTTGAGCACTACTGAGGAGGTAACCCAAATCATCTTAATTTGTGTATTCATTGTTGCTACTCTAACAGCAGAAGAGCACTGATACAATGAGAGTCTTAAGAAAGGACCTGAAAGTAAGTTGCCATAAGGAACAGAAGTGTCCACAGATCGGTGTCCACCGTCACCACCGCAGGCATCCTGTTCCCTGCAAAGCAACTCCAAGGTTCTCCCCAATCACTCATTAACACATGGCAATGGATCTTCTACAGGGATTTACCAGAAAGCAGCTGACAAGCATTAAGATCATATTCAGATTTTATTCAGATTTTCAGATTTTTTTGCTCATTCTCTTTAATGTTTGTAGAACCCCTACATCTCCTTGCCAAATATGTAAGAACAGTTTTTATTAGGAGTCACCTTTACAGACAGCAACATTGGTATTAAAACAATTAATTCCCCTTCACACCAGTTGATGCTACCCTTAATCTCAAACTACTCAGGCTTCAACTAACATTTCTTGAATCTTCTCAGCTCTTCTTGATCCCACTCTTTCTCTTTCAGGATGACACGCTCACGGAGCTTTGCTGTAATATGTTCCAGCAGTGATTGGCGTGTTTGAAAAACTTCCTGCTCAGATGCTGACAGTATGTGGTATGATGTGTGAGCAATTCTCCTATCCTGCAACATACCATGAGTTAATCCACTAATGTATGGGAACACTAACATAAAAGTGTTACAGAGTTAAAGCCAACCCATTCCAAAAGCACAGCACCACCCCTGCTGATCCTGGCTTGGAGCTCAGTCTGTGATATGGGGTACAGGACACATCCAGGTTAGATGTCCTAGTTGTTCCAATTATCAGTTTGCTGAGTGCTCAACAAGTTAACTAGAACAATTTTCACATGTTTCTTCGAGGGGGAATCACGGAATCATAGAATAGTTTGGGTTGGAAGGGATCTGTAAAGGTCATCTAGTCCAACCCCCTCTGCAATGAGTAGGGACATCTTCAACTAGATCGGGTTGTTCAGAGTCCTCTCCAACCTGGCCTTGAATGTTTCCAGGGATGGGGCATCTACCACCTCTCTGGGCAACTTATTCCAGTGTTTCACCACCCTCATTGTAAAAAATGTCTTCCTTATATCTAGTCTGAATCTACTCCCTTTTAGTTTAAAACCATTACCCCTTATTTAAAAGCATTACCCTTTATCCAATCCCCCCACCCCCTGATCCAGAGTCCCTCCCCTCCTCTCCTGTCCCCCCCTTTAAGCCCTGGGAGGCCGCACGAAGGGCTCCCCGGAGCCTTCTCTTCTCCAGGCTGAACCCCCCCAACTCTCTCAGCCCGGCCCCCCAGGGGAGCTGCTCCAGCCCCCCCAGCATCTCCGTGGCCTCCTCTGGCCCCGCTCGAGCAGCTCCATGTCCTTCTGCTGTTGGGGGCCCCCGAGCTGGCCCCAGCACTGCAGGGGGGTCTCCCCTGAGCGGAGCAGAGGGGGAGAATCCCCTCCCTGGCCCTGCTGCCCCCCCTGCTCTGCCTGCAGCCCAGGGCACGGGTGGGTTCTGGGCTGTGAGCGCATGGGGCTGACTCACGGGCAGTTTTTCCCCCACCAACACCCCCAAGTCCTTCTCCACAGCACTGTTCTCAATCCCTTCATCCCCTCGTCTGTATTGATACTGGGCATTGCCCTGACACTGGTGCAGGACCTTGCACTTCGAAGCTGCCCTCATCTTGCAGAGAGCTTCTCTCCCAGCACTTCTGGAAGCAGCCAAAAAGCTTACTGCAAATTAAAAGAAAGCTAGAGGGCACTGCTTGTCCACTATTATGTTCCTCAGTTCCCCACACTACTTCTCTGTGGCAAGTGCCAGCAAAGAGAGTATAGACAGAAGTCCAGAGCAAGGCAGTAAAGTAAGGTACCTGGAATATGACAATAAAGTTTGACATGTGATTACAGCTATAAATTGCTTAACTTATTTTCCTGTTCGAGGATCAGCTGCGATTGCAAGCAAAGAAATCACAACTTAATGTCTACATGGAATGTTAGTGTGGGATCCAATAACCCTCCTAAACTCTAAGCAGGCTACTCCATGAATGAGATGCACTATTACTTTTTTTCTTTTCAGAACAACTACTGTTTATGTTTCAGAGGTAAGCAATCTGCTTATGTAAGTTTTCTTGTTAATAAGAAAGCTATAAAAAAAAAGAATGTATATTAGTTCTAATTAGAACCGTCACAGAATCCCAGGCCTTTTAAAAGTTGTTTTTTAAACAAATATATGCAGAAAAAAAAGCATCAGTCAGAAGTTTATTAGTTACACTTCACAGTAATGTTCTTTTTATAAGGGATTAGTACATGGTTAAAGACTACTTTAGTAAATCCATGTATTTGTTTAGTAAATATATACTTCAGTTGATTTATATATACTATATAACATATGATACATTACACATTTTAATGTATGTTTTATTGAAATATATATTGTATTTAGGAAATTCATTGTTTTAAAGTTTGATCAATAATGTTCTATCATACTTCAGAACACATCTAAAATTACCATAATATATAACCCATAATAATTTCTCCTGATTTAATTGTAGCCTCACAGAAACATGCATTAATTGGTTTTAATGCCTGGGTTTAAGATTATGATTAACTCTCTCCAATCCAGTTATAAATGGAATCTTACAATGTGACAGCAAGGATTGCCTTCACAGGCAAAACTATTAGAAGTATTCACACTTTAAGTGATTAACATTTCATTTGGTGCTAAACTGAGTCTCACAACAAATGAACAGAAAAAGCAAATTTCCCTGGAAGTTTCTGAGGAGGCCCTAGAAAATTCATAAGGACACAACAGGCCATATATTTTAATAGATGCAAATGTACTGCACTTTCAGATATGGGAACTGAAATCATACCTGATAATATTTATAATAAGCATAGTCAACAGCTGTTCCCACAGCTTTTCTCTGTCCTTCCCTAAGAGTAACTGGTGCAAGGATATCTGCGCCAGCTTCAAGCAGCTTATCAACCTGAAGAAAGCAAAAAAGAAAACCTTCCCAAAAAATTGCATTCACACCACAGCTAAAGAGACAGGACTGAACATCAGAGTTTAACCTCTATTTGTGAGACTGTTTTGTGCACTGAACCATGCATTCCTTCTGCTCTTTCAGAGCTGACAATGAATTGTCAAATCAAAATGTGCTTTGCAAGTAAAGCCTTCTTGAAGGGAGTTGCTGTTTGTTTCTGGATATCTCACAGTTTTGCAGCAACAAAAACCTGGGACAACTAGTGAGGGAGGGGGCAGAAGAGAAACCAGTTGGGGAAATTGACTCTGCTCCCAAATCCCTCAGCTGCATCCTTCTTCACCCCCACTCTGAATGAAATCAGCCCTGTGCTCCCTGTCATGAGGAGGAAAAATTCCCATTTCCTCAAGATCACAAGGTCAAACACTGCCATTGACCACTTTACAGTAACAACCAAACACAACACATCTCTCTTTATGTGGATGCTGATTGTGTTTATAAACAACTTAACAGTCAGATTTGACAGGGCTATGGGCACTACAACCATCCCATCCAACTTTAACCTAGTTTTTCCTCTTCTACACAAGGAGGTTATCACCCTCTTTACTCAAACATGAAAATTAATTTCCACAGAAAACCTCTGTTCCTCAGGACAGAAACAAACAGTATTAAGAATAGACATAAATTAATAGTTCCGGGGGAAAAAAATCAGTTTACCCATTAATGAGAAAGGGGACACAATGCACCTGGCAAAAAATCACTATTTTTCTGAAGTTTAAAATAACCAACAAATGCCCAGATGTTATCTCACCAAAGCAATCCTCTGTGCTGTAGTTCTCTGATGTTCATACTCTGTACTGACAGCTGCACAGAGGGCACTTATCGCTCCACTTAATGGCAGATTTGGGTCAGCCCCATGTTTGAGTAGTTCAACCACTGCCTGAAAATGTGCATATACAAATGTGACAAATCAGTGACTGGAGAAGCCACTATTGACAGTTCTATGGCAGGAAAGTGGGAGCCTAGCCAGATCAGTCAAGATCCTAAAGCTTTACAGTATTTACCACAGCACACTTTGGAGTATCTGCTAGTACTTGCCATAACTTCAGCAGCACACAAAAATCTAGTCCACCTGACAGTAGTTCTCACTTCTTTAGCTTGAATCGTAATGTCATCACTGAATACTTTAACAAACAACAGCCTCAAAGACATGAGAGGGTCGCTTTAAAAATCACCTGGTCTGATTCATAAAGTGTATTATTAAAAAAAAATATTTTACCACAAAGATAAGGATTAGATCGGTTGATCAATTACAGCCTATTAGATCATTACTTCAGATATTAGCCTCTGAGAAGGAGGGAGAAGCAGTAGTTGTTGGCTATAGGACCTTCCATATCATTCAACAACATGAAATTTAAGTTTTCTGTGTTGCAAAAAGCCACTTTTGCCTAGAAAAATATCAAAACTCTCTTAAAAATTATGAAGACAGGGTAAGGAAAAAGGTTAAGGTTCAAACACTTCATACAGAATCTATTTTTATTTTGTATGCAGCTGTAGCCACCTCTATGATAACCCCTTCCATAGTTCACACTCTAGCTCCATATTATATTGCATCCAGTTTTATTTTTATCGATATTTGATACCCTTCCAGTGAAAGGAATATAGTTGAAGAATAACAACACAAAACAGATACTTTCTATTATGTTCTATCATTTATCCTATGTCAATTAATTTTGTAGTGACAGGTAGAATGTTGATTTCAGCAAAAATACTGAAATGTTTTTCCCCTTAGCTTTGCTTGCATTTCCAAGAGAATGCTTCGCTGGATTGTGTGCTTTTGTACTGGAGAAATACACTCCAATCCTGCCCCTTTCACGTTCTCTGAACCGCTAGGCTACAATCAGGCACACTCACCCCCTTAGAAGCATTCTTGCTGCAGCCTTGTGTGCTGGCTGCACAAGAGCTGAGCTCCATGGGGAGCCAGGGTGCCACTCTCATCCCATTATTCTCCTGCCATGCTTTCCACAAAGAAGACAAGCCAGGAGCCTTGACACACAGAGCTCTGTCTGGAAAGAGGTAGAGAAATGCAGCCACATGTGCTTCATCACCCTCTTTGGCTGCGCATCTTTTGCACCATGCTGACTGTCGTGGACCTGCTCTTACAGCCCCAGTGTGGGCAGAAGCAAGCCCATTAGCTGCTCGGAAAGACAGGTGCTAACTTCACACACTGAATTCTGTGTAAACTGTAAGTCTCATCTGTGGAATGCTCAGCCTCATTACAACCAAATCCTTTCTAAGACTGATCTTTAATCTTTTTATAGAACAGCATAATTCTTACCATCACTGGCTACACTTTTGTCTTATACCCAGAAGCAAGAGTTTTGGTGTTTGGTTGGGTCACTCCAGACAGGGAGGAAGCCTGTAAGAGGACTGAATGTTCTTGTGACTCTCAAAATGAACACAGTTCCCCAAATGCTAGTCCCTTCTGAGTCCTACCCAAATATTTCTGGCTACCTGATACTGTAGTCCTTTAAGGACTCCTCTAGTTTGAACATCCACAGGTTTCAAAGAAAAGTAAAGACTTTATTATTTTCACTGAAAACATATGATTGCAAGCACCACTCATTATGTAGTTTGGCTGTCACCAGAGAAGGCAGATGTGAATGGAGAAGTACAACCCAAAAAAATGAAGGAACTTGAAGATGCTCACCAAGTCATTCCCACTGGCAATCGCTAAGGAAAGTGGTGAATGGCCACTCCACAAGGTATTTGGATTTGCCTGATGCATTAAAAGGAGGCGGATAACATCCCTGGCATGCTTTGTAGGCAATTGCGGTGGAAAAAGGTAGAGTTAGATCATAATAAATTTAAATTTTAAATATTAAAAATAATAATTAATAAAATGAGCAGCATAAAAGACATCCAAGCCTTTCACACAAACTATGATGTTATAGCAAAAATATACATCCAATTTCTCATGACTGAGAACCCCAAGCATAGTGGTGTTATATGTGAAATCTCTTCCCAACCAGATTATCAAATCTCATTAATCCTGCCACCAGAACGAATGTGTAGGTTTGATTCTGAAGTGGGTCTCCTCTCTCAGATACCCTTCGCCAACTGTAAGCATCCCAATCTGCTAGTAAATGTTACTATAGTACAAAATCAAATGCACAGAGATTAGTACATGCCAAAACTAAGACTATCTAACTTCAAATTGGCCTTGTGCATGATTAAATTAATGGTCAATTAATCAATGGAAACTTGACTAAACAAGCTTCTCTTGTCAAACAGAATGCCAAAGATTTACAAAATGTTTTTTCTTCAAGTGTTAATCAATTTTTAATCACTATAACACTAACAATTCCATAGAAGAGTTTATTCCTGGTATTCAATCAGCTGCTTAGAGGGATGAAATGTCTTCACTGCCAAGTTATGTCATTTGACATCAGCTTAGAACTACTCCCTGTGAGCAGAGCCTCAGATGCTGTGATCTTACCTCACTGTCATCCTCTCTTGCGCATGCAATATGCAATGCACTCCTTCCACCTTCTTCAGGGACAGGACTGCTATGGAATGAAAAGTACTCTTGTGGTGGTCCTTCTTCATTTTTCAATTGCAAAGTGACACCACCTGTCAAGTTGGCTTCTCTGGATGGAGGCTGAGGAATCTAAGTGAAATGATGTGCACATTTGCAACACAGTTTAAAGACAAGTTAACAGAAAATAAACCTGCCTGGTCACCCATTGGTCTGAATCTCAATCATGGACAAGACTTGTTCAGCCCCACAAAAACAACAGCCGCCCTTTTTCTACTTTCTTCTCAACATTGAGGTCCATTCTGCTAGACTGTTTTCACACTGCATACTAAGAAGTTACCAATGTAGAAATCTGGGGAAGGCAAATTTGAGAGATATATTTCACTGGGCCAAACAATACCCTGTAAGGAGTGGGAGGGAAGAAGCAAGATTTCAGGCACAGAGGGCCTGCCTTGAGTCCAGCTCATTCACATGTCATTCATTTACAGTCTATAAATATAGGGTCACCAGATCAATATAAAAAACAAAAGTGCTATTTGAGAAAGTAAATCTTGCCTACACTGTCTCTGAGCATTCTGTAACTAAGTACTGTTGATAAATAGATATCAATTTCGCTTACTTACTACTTAAGGACAAAGTATTAAAATGCAAACTGACAAAGCCATCTAAGTCTCCCTGTCCTGCAGACATTCACCTTAATTCTTCTCATGACAAGATAAGTTTTATCAGTCTAGTTACATAAGCCAACTCCTTTTTTAAGTGATTCGGACCTGTCGGTATTCTGAGGAGCTGGCCAACATCACTGCAAGGCCACTCTGGTTATTTCTGAATGGTCATGGCAAGCAGGGGAGATTTCTGAGGAATTTCTTTGCCTTTCTGGCAAAACGGAAGGAAGAACCAGGGAACTACAAGATGGTCAGCCTCATCTTGGCTTATGGGAAACCGATGGCAAAATCTTCTGAGAAGCCATCTCCAGACATACTACAGATAAGGTGACTGGAAGCAGTCAGCATGTATTTGCAAAGGCAAAATCATGCCTGACAAACATCATAGCCTTCTACAATAAGATGACCAGCTTGGAGAAAGATAGGAAAGCAGTGAATGTTGTTTACCTTGACTTTAGCAAGGCTTTCAACACTGTTTCCCATAACATCCTCATAGACAAGCTGAAGAAGTATGGACTAGACAATTGGGCAGATACTGGAGCCAATACTATTTAACATCTTCATTAATGACCTCAATGCTGGGACAGAGTGCACCCTCAGCAAGTACATAGATGATACAAAACTGGAAGGAGTGGTTTAATGTACCACACAGTTGTGCTGCTTTTCAGAGGGACCAGGACAGGCTGGAGAACTGGACAGAGAGGGACCTTATTAAACTCAACAAAAGGAAATTCCTTCCGTGCACCTAGGGAGGAATAACTCCAGGCACCAGCAGATCTGGGACTGACGAGGTGGAAAAAACCTCCTAGAACAGGACCTGGAGATATTTGTGGACAGGTTGAACATAAGCCAGCAGCCTGCCCCTGCAGCAAAGAAGGTCAACAGCATTGGGCTGCATTAGGAAAAGCATTGGCTGCTGGAACAGGTTGCACAGAGAAGTTGTGGAGTCTCCACCGTTGGAGATACTCAAAACCCAACTGGACTAGATCCTGAGCAACCTGCTATAATTGATCCTTCTTTGAGCAAGGGTATTGTACTACACAGTCTTCTGAAGTCCTTTCCAACCTTTCAGCTGTTCTGTGGCTACATGATTTTGTTACTACAACTTAAAGTAATTTCTTTGGTAACAAATGCCAGAAAAAGCATGTATTGCTGGTATAGCTCCATCAGCAGTAGAGAATTACCATCAAAAATGACAACTAACTAAAAAGTGCAACACTACCAAAGAAGTCTACTGCTAGGCTGACCTGCAACCTAGAGGCACAGCAAATGCTGCAGGAATCTACTAGAGAGAGCCTGGGTTCAAGGAAAAGATAAATAAGGAAAGAAAATAAGTAGTAGGACAACTCCATGAGGATGCAACAAGCAAGTCCCACCACAGACAAATCTGTTTCTGCAGTCATATCTTCAAGCATTTGACTGGACTACACACAAGAGAATTCTAACCTCTGTCTTATATGACATGATATCCAAATGTTATGGGGCACCAAAATCAGGAGGATATGTTTACTGCAACCCAATATTACAGACCTCAAGTGGATTTTTTTTTTTTTAAAGGTTCTTTCAGAGGAATCCAAAGATTTCACTGTGCAATCACGCCGGCAAGAACCTCAACTTCCTGCTTAGGTGCTGTGTAATCTGAATTTCAACAACTGAAAGAAGATGAGCACAAAAAGCAACATACCTGGTCGGGACCATATACCTTATTTCCATCTTCTGCCCTTGCATTAAGATCTGGGGCAGAATGCAGGAGGTATTGTGTTATCTGGACCCCTTCCTCCCCAGGAATTGAGGCAGCTATGTGGAGAGGAGTTAACCCCCCTAACTGAAAACATAAACATAGCATTAAGACTCCTGATTATCACAAGCAGCACTTAAACAGCACTAAATATTTTTTTGAAAGAATAATCCAAGCTCACTCTTCCCACATACTGTGTCTCATAAACAGCCACCATAAACAGAGTTACAGGACTATGGAACACTAAAGGTCCCAGACGTCAAGCCTACTAAATATCACAACAGCTATTATCAACTTGAGGCTTCACAAGTATTCCCCAGCCACTCACAAGCTTGGCAACCAAGAAACATAATGATAAAAATAAATACTTAGAGAATAAGGAGTTTTGAGTTCTTTCTATTAAAAAAAAATCTTTGAATTGAATAATTGCTTTAAACATTTTTTTGGCCATTCTACAGCTGATTCTGACATGCAGAATATTTTACAGTAGGGCACTGAAGCTGTGGTGCACATCTAGAATTCCACATCACAAATTATAATCCAGTAAAACCTTGGATGGAAGCTGTACGTCAGTCCTGGCTCCCCTTTCTAAGAGGAGTTTCACTGCTTCTGCATCTGCGGCTTTAACAGCAAAGAATAGAAGGTGTGGTGTGACCCATGATGCATTGGGATCTGCACCTCGACGAAGCAGCAGTTGGATTGTTTCCCATCTCTTCTGTCGTCTAGAATTAACATGGAAAATACCAGAATAACATATTAGCATCTTCCAATAAAACTCTAAAAGCTAGTGGACTAAAATGACTCCCAGGTAATAGACATGAAAACAGTCATTTAGCAGAGAGAAGACATGCCAGTCTTTAGGGCCGTATCACAACTGCCCTACACCACGGTGGCAACATCATGACCTGAAGAGGGGGACAGCACTGGCACTGTATCTCAGCCCTCTAAAGGAGTAACATGCAAAATCAGTCCCTGAAGTCATGAAAAGCCCTTGCATGGTAATAGACAGGCAAAGCTAGACAAGGTTATCTACTTCTCCACCAGTCACTCAAGTGTGACTTGTAAACTTTTAGTCTTAGACTTGTTTAATGAAAGAAACAGACTCCTACTTCCTGCCAAAGACTCCTTGGAAGGTTCTTTCCTAAATCATACCTCATTCAACCATCTGAAGAAAACAAAGGTACAGTGTTTCCCTTAAACAAAAGCTGGAACAGGATCTATGCTAGACTAGGACAATAGATTCCAGATGCCATGTGCATATCCATGGAGGCGAATTACTCACACTCCCTCCTCTCCCTCCCCCGCACCAAAAAAATCTGACACCACCAAAAAAAAAAAAAAAAAAACAAACGGCACTTGGAAATCACCCATAGACTCTATCACAAAGTGTTCTCAGCAGAGACTCATCTTTTCAGATATGGTATTAAGTCAGCTTTACCCACAAGCCCTACATCCAATGGATCTTTATATTCCAAAAAACAACGTGCAATATGCACAATATTTCAGACAACAAGAATCATGGGAGGTGGGAGGATGTGCCACAAAAGTAACATATAAGGGATGAAGGCCAACCAGGAATTTTCAGTTTGAGAGTTTTAAGATATCAAAATGGCCTACACTGCCATAAAACTGAACACAAAAATGTCATCACCCTTGGTGACTGCTCTGTAAGCAAAGCAAAAAGCAAAATGTGGCCCTTCCTAAGAGCCACAAAGGCAAAATAGTTGGACTACATTTCAGCTGATACTGCTAAACAGACACTTGCAGTAAACAACTATCAAGTTCATATATAGTCAAGACTTCGAGAAATAAAGTGAATATATTCTCCTTCCTCAGGTCTACACTACACTGCAAGTGTCCATTGTATACTTCACAGCTTTTCTCACTCCACTACCAAGAAATCTTGTCCTTGTGCAAGCACGAATGTCCCTTGCTTCAACTACACTTTCCAACTGCAATCTTTGCCCACTGCTGACATGAGGTACATCAGAGTGCATAAACAATGAGTGGCTTCTACTGGCGTGAAAACAAGATTTGCCCAGTTAAACAAAAAATATCTTGCCCTGCAATGGATGCACACTTCCGTGAAACACGTGAAATACTGTTACCTTCTTTATACAAAAGGGTTTATGAGAGTTGGTCTCCCATTTATAGTGCATGAGACTTACTCTGAGATTATGCCTTCAGCCACATTGACTGTTTCTGAGGATTCTGATTGTTCATTCCACTTAAAGATTTAAAAAAAGAAAGAGGTTACAAAAATGAAAAAAATCTTCCAATCAATGACTCAGCATATTAACACATCAGAGCAGTAACACAGTACAGCATATAATGATAATGGAATTTTGTTAACAACTGTTAGGGAAATCATTTAAAAGTAATTTGTAATTAAGGTTCTGTTTGGGTTTGGTTTTTTTAAATCTCTTAAAATAACAGTATTTTTCCTTTTCTATTTCCATGATATCTAAAACATGTTTAGAAGAGTTAAAAGTTTCTTCCAGTATACATCACCTAGCTTTAAAGAAAAAAAATGCTGAAAAAAAAAGAAGACACTTACAGATTCTCAACCTGCATTAGCTTGTATGAGAATCTGTAACTAGGACCTACTTGGCTGATGTTTCCAAATCCAGATGCATATTAAACTCGGAGGAAAAGTGAATGCAATGTACCTTGCAGAATCTCAGAGACTGTGACAGACACAAACCAACACAGAAAGATCCCCTCTCTATTCCTAATTACCCTGCATTACCTCCAGAATGAGAGGTAATAGCTTCACATTGATTTTCTGTGCAGTTTTGAGCAGCTGTTATCTCTCACTCCCCTTCTCGCTTTCTCCTAAGTCTTGCAACTTTAGCAGTGGGCCACCACTTGAACATACTTGTGGAACTGGAACAGTGACTTCAGAGCAATCAAGGATTATTTGGTACTTTCCAAGAAGTTTCCTTAAGGCATGGGCCGCTACTTGTCTAGCCTCATGTGAAAGCCTCAGCAGCACCCTTCCACTTCTGGACTCCACTAAAACATTTAAAAGGCCACACAGTCCCTGCCCAGACCCCTTTTTCATCTGTTTTCTCATCCTGGCTGGTGATTCCTGACACCCTTGCTTTCGTTTTCTTTCCCATTCCTAGGTTTGCACTCTTACAAAATGTATATTGTGTTCCTATGTAGGAAGTCCAAATCAGGTGTTTCTCTTTGTGGCAGGAGGAAGGCCAGGGATATGGCTCGTCCTTTGTGAGCACTCCTCAAGGATTAGCAGGCTTCTGACAGTACAATTGCTTTTTACTGGCCACCTCCATGATGCCAGCAGGATTACTGCAGTAGTACCAGGAGAAGCACCAACATCCTATTGTTCTAATGCTTTTGTAATTCCCATCAGCTGCCCCACTGCATCTTCATTGTGTTAAACACCTAGCCAACATGGCCTCATATCTCTGCTATTGAGACAGGGCCTTATTTCAATTACAGCGTAAGCTTGTAACTGCACTGGAGCTTGGTCCTTTGAGTTCAGCATTAACAGTGAGAGCAGAGATCATTCTGCATCCTCGGAGTGCAAAACGTATAAAAGTTCTGACTTTTTCCTAGAGAGTATACACAGTAAATTTAAAAAGCAAGCTTACAGATTGAGGAAATAACACATTACAAGTCTGTCATTTTAGATTAGAAGTAAACAAACCTTGGAACTGTGTAAGCTCCTCTCAGCAATATTATCCTTAAAAGATTCTTCGGGATAAAATAGAATAAAGCACATTGAGAGAGCAGATAATCCTTCATCACTACACTTATTCACATCAGCTCCACTATCAAGAAGAAGATCGACAATGTCACTGTGGGAATGAACCTGTAGAGGGGAAACATCCATGTTCGCATATGTATGTACACACTTCTAGCTTTTGACATAGAATTAACAACACAATTTTAAAGTAGTGATGCTCCACACTGTTTATCTAATTCAAATCTGTATTTCCCACAAAATAGAAACACAATACTGAACCATGACTTACAGGGTTCAGAACATGCATTTTTCAGCTCGTTTTTAACTACTGGATTTCACAGGAATCCAGTGAGGATTCACACACAGAAAGAGACTAAAAGTGACTGACATTGCTACAGGAGAAATACAGTGTTCTAAATTATTATCTGTATTTTGCTAGCCATTTACAAAGAATGCCAAGTACTGAGGTAGCTGAAAAGGGCATGAAGAAAAAGGTGGGGCTAGGGAGGAAAAGCGGGGAGGCAGGGGAGTGGAGCAGGAGTTCATCCCCTCCTACAGAAATTGAAGTTGTGCAAGCATGGTTTCTAGCCACTACCAATTTTCAGCAGGAACAAAGCAACTCTGAATCTGATTTCAACTAGGAGAAAAAATAAGAAGGGCACAGCCACAGCCAGTAATGTAGATCTAGTCCTCTGCATAATCATAACCTGAAATCAAACCTGACATTTGAAATCATCTCTAGTACTTACTGAAGGGCTTCTTTTAGGTTATTTATTTACTGTGGGGTTTGGCACGTTACCAGTCATTACAGACATTACTCATGCCACACTGCTTTTCTGTTTTTCCTGTTTACTGAACATACCTTTCATACTATGTAATGAAACAAGAGAAAAATTTAATCCTGTTTACTATACCAGGAATTTTCTCATCGTGTGGTAAAGAGTCATGCTTAGAGTCTTACAGCAGCAGCAGCAAGTGCTGTGTATCCATGTTTGTCAGCTATGTCTGGATGAGCAAGCCCATTCCTCAGAATTGCATAGACCCCATCATAGTCTCCTCTTGCTGCCTTCTGAATTAGCTGCTCTGAGGCAAGTTCCCTGGGGCCTGGAGGCCCATAAATACTGCGGGCTCCACTAAGAATGAGGCTGACATCTGAAGTGAACTCCATTTGACAGCGCCTAGAAAAGCAGAAAAAAAGTACAGCGCATCTGTTTATGATTTAATTGTCATTACCTGCTTTAAATATGACTATAAAATATGCATATGCAGCTTGTCTTCCTGTCAAAAAAAGCAAATAAGGAAATATTCTGCGGGCCCAAAGAGCATCTCCACTTACAAGTGCTGAGCTACATAAAATCTGGCAGGCAGGTGGCAGTTCTACTAACTGTAGACTTTCTGCAACATGTTTTGTATAGCCTTGAAGGAGAACAAGTGTCAAGACAACCACAAAAAGGGATCATTGGCTGGACTTTTTGTGAGTTCAAAAATATAGCACTACGCTTCTCCATATTTCTACCTCTACACAAGCATTATACTCTCAAAACACGGAAGGTCAGAAAAGGTCTCTACAGCTTTTGCCTTCTAATTCCTTTCACAATTGGACTTCCAGAAACTCTGACATGCTAATGAGTAATGGGACTATTTTTATAGGTGTAACCAGAATAAAACCAATGTTTAACTTAAAGGAATAAAATATGTGAAATGAGATGAGTATGTTGTTTGTTTCTTTTTTTAAAAAAAACTCATTGGCAATTTGTAATCTCAAGGCCATAAAAAACCCAATCTGGAGTGCAGCTTTTATCCTACAACATAAATTTTAAAATAATGAACACCTATGGATAATAATTCCTAAAAAGCCGTACATAATAAATCATCAAAAGTTACCTGTGCTTATAAACATGAGTCTGCATTCTAACCAGTAGAGGGGTTACATTTGCAACAGGCCAAGGGTCTTCCTCAGGCAGCTTTGAGGTGTTCTGAAAATACCAAGCATCACACTCTTCCAGGACGGATCGAGTCAAAGTAAGATGATCTGTGTTACAAGAATATGCAAAGACTCCTTCAGGGAAAATATCCTTATCATCAAAAGGGAGATGCTTATAGCTATAGAGAAATGGGTCTTCCTCAACTGAAATGTATTTCTTTTGAGAATTGTCATCAATGTATCTGCAGTGTGCTGGATAATCCAAGAGAGAAAACCAACCAGGTACTTCAGTACATAGTTTAATTAGATGATCCCTGAGCCACAAGCCAACATCCTGACAGCCATCTGGATAGCTCTCAATCCCTGGTCCAAATCGCTCATCAGATTTGTACAGCCCCTTAAGAAACAAGAAAACTCATTAGTATCAGTCAGACATCAAACAAGTTATACAATTAAAGTCTGGTTTCTATTTAAACTAATCTGGCTGGTTCTGGATTTACTGGTCCACCTCCTGTTGACAGAGCAATAATTGCTGAAGCCAATCTGAACAGCGAAGCCTTCACCTTCACTTTGGTCCATATAATAGCAAACACAAATCTTCTAGCACAAGAGCAATGAAGGCCCTGAATTTATCTACAGTGGGATGTAATATTTAGATGAAACTTCCTGATGATTTTAGGGCCTGAGTAAGATTTCTTTTTTTTTTTTTTTCTTCTGTGACCAGAAGATTCATTAGCCATGCTGCTATCTTTCAGGCCAAGACAGATTTTTGGTTAGATTTTCCTACCTAATCAAAACAAACATGTCTGACACATCTGCACAGACACAGAATCTGGGAACAACAGATTATTTTTCTTACAATGGTGACTAAATTTAAGATATCTAAAGCCTTGCAAGCATGAAAAGACGTGCCAACAGAAGAGTCTCAGTAGCAAATAAAGCACTACAGGACAGGAGTTTTAGTCTTCCTACAAGGGTATCCTAGTTTGGTCATGACATTACGGTAGGTAAGGCATGAGCATTACTAAATTTAAGCAGACTCATGCATATCTGGTCACACATATGGTTCAAGACAGGTTCACACTAAGCTATCAAAACCTCAAAACACCTATTTGGACATTGAGCTGTTTAGCTACAGAGATAAAGGAGCAGGAGAAAAGTGCTACCACTGGCAAGAATCAAATCTTGAGTATGGTTATGATCATAAATTTCTCTATTTTTCCCCTAGCTTTAGATTACACATCATATTCCCAAATTAAAGCTCTCCTAAATCCGCAGTTAGTGCCACATTATCAACATTCAGCAAGAATGCTATGTTCTTGTTGATCACCTCCTCAATGCAAAGACTGTTATGTTGTTTCTCTATATGTTTTAGATTATTTGATGAATTGCAGGGATATCCAGGGATCAGTAGGAATGGGTGGGCAGTGCTTCCCTATACTTAGGACTTCAGATATACCTTCTAAGAAAACAAAGGACTGCAAGCTCTTAGAAAACAAGATTTCCAGCTTCTACTAGCAACATCAGGTCTGAAAATAATACATGGACACTTCAGATTGCTGTCTACCTCCAGAGTTTCTTAAAAAGCAGTATTTTTCCTGTTTTTCCTATTGCTGGCATTCTAATATGCCTTTTGAGAGTACTGACTAAATAATAAGGTCTTCATCAAAGGAGAATAAATCCTGAAATCTTTTATGTTTGATACTAGAAGAAGTAACTTTTTCAGGCATCAGATTTTTAGTTCTGGACAGATGGTATCACACCACAGGGCCAAAAGGAGGATCTGAGGAACTACAGGCCTGTCAAGCTGACCTCAGTGCTGGGGAAGGTTATGGAGCAGATCATCTTGAGTGCCATCACATGGCACATACAGGACAAGCAGGTGATCAGGCCCAGTCAGCATGGGTTTATGAAAGGCAGGTCCTGCTTGACTAACCTTCTATGACAAGACTCTCCTTCTATGACAAGACAACTTGCTCAGTGGATGAAGAAAAGGCTGTGGAAGGTGTTTACCTGGACTTCAGTAAAGTCTCTGACACCGTTTCCCTCAGTATTCTTCTGGAGAAATTGGCTGCTCATGGCTTGGATGGGCGTACTCTTCACTGGGTAAAAATACTAGCTGGATGCCTAAGCCCAGAGTTGTGGTGAATAGAGTTAAATCCAGCTGGTGGCAGGTAACAAGTGGTGTTCCCCAGGGCTCAGTATTGGGGCCACTTCTGTTTAATATCTTTATCAATGATCCAGACAAGGGAATCAAGTGCACCCTCAGTAAGTTCACAGATGACACCAAGTTGTGTAGGAGTGTTGATCTACTTGAGGGCAGAAAGGCTCTACAGAGGTATCTGGACAGGCTGGATGGATGGGCCAGGGCCAACTGTATGAGGTTCAACAAGGCTCAGTGCCAGGTCCTGCACCTGGGTCACAACCACACCATGCAATGCTATAGGCTTGAGGAAGAGTGGCTGGAAAGCTGCTTAGAGGAAAAGGACCTGGGGGTGTTCGTCAACAGCCAGCTGAATGTAAGCTGGCAGTGTGACCAGGTGGCCAAAAGGGCAATGGCATCCTGCCTTGTATCAGGAATAGTGTGGCCAGCAGGATTGGGGAAGTGATTGTCCCTTTGTACTTGGCACTGGTGATACCAGACCTCCAATACTGTGTCCAGTTTTGGGCCCCTCGCTACAAGAAAGACACTGAGGTGCTGGAACATAGCCAAAGAAGAACGACAAAGCTGATGAAGGGTCTGGAGAACAAGACTTATGAGGAGTGGCTGAGGGAACTGGGGTTAGTATGGAGAAAAGAAGGCTGAGGGGAGACCTTACGGCTCTCTACAGCTACCTGAAAGGAGGTTGTACCAATGTGGGTGTCAATCACTTCTCTCAACTAACAAGTGATAGGACAAGAAGAAAGGCCTCAAGTTGCGCAAGGGAAGGTTTAGATTGGATATTAGAAAAATTTCTTAACTGAAAGGATCTCAAGCTTTGGAACAGGCTGCCCAGGGAAGTGGTTAATTTAAATACTTCCAGGGAGGGTGCAAGACATGTAGACATGGTGCTTAGGGGCATGATTTAGTGGTGGAGTTGGTAGTGTTAGGTTAACAGCTGGACTTGATGATTTTAAGGGTCTTTTCCAGCCTAAATGATTCTGTGCTTCTATGATCGACTTCTTCAATATTTCCCCATGCAAAAGTTGAATACTGCAGAAGCTAAGCTGTTGAAATGAGTGCCCTAACTCACTGGAGATCAAATGATGATTTTGCTCTAAAGACCCAAAACATTAAGGAACTGGCTTGAAAAGAAATACAGATTTTCCTGTACATATGCTGACTTTGAAAGGCAAGGAAATAACAGTATTAGCACAGCATTTTTCCAGTTACCTGAAATTTTCTGCCATCCTTCCATTCCAGGGTCCCATAGCCTTCTATACGGCCAAGATAAAAAGCTCCTGTGAATTTGGAACCATCAGGCCAGTAACAAATTCCCTTTCCATGGCGGTGGTCCATGTAGAACTCTCCCACATACCTCTGTAATCCAGAGAAGAGGACAAGACAATAAGATCCAACAGACGGGACAAAAGTGAAATCACCCCCTTACTGCAACAGAGCAGGACTAACAAGGAACAGGAAAAACTGGCAAACTAAGAGGGTGAATCTGTTAAACAGTTAAGCAAGACTGGGCACAGGCTCAACTCCAGTTTTGCCACAGGTTTCAAAACTCAGCCCGGATTTTACCAACTTCTCTAGAAGCTCTTCCATCATGTAGCAGTCAGGAGTTCACGTTACTTCAGCAGATGTACCTCTGCATGCATATCCTTAGATACATTGTCAAATAATCCGTGCCAAACCAACATCTATTTAATCATTCAACATCTTTCATAAAGACCTGTAACGCCAAGACACATTTAGCATTCTACGGACAGGCAGCTGGAGGACTGTACTTGAGCGGGAAAGCGGAGGTGCCTCCGACGGCCCCTCTCCCCAGCGGGCTCAGGCCCGCAGCGCCCCGGTGGCATACCTCACCGCCGCCCGGCCCGGGGGGCAGGCCCGGCCAGGGGGGCAGGCCCGGCCCGCGGGGCAGGCCCGGCCAGGGGGGCAGGCCCAGCCCGCGGGGCAGGCCCGGCCCGGGGCTCGGGCCGCAGCCGGCCGCACTCACCGCCTCTCCAGCCTCGGCCGCCGGCTGACTGGGAACTCGCCCGGCGCTGACCGCCATGGCAGCCCCACCGGCACCGCTCCCTGCTCCCGCCGGCGTGATGCGAGGCCCCGTGTCGCCGGGCGGCGCGTTGCCGTGGATACCCCGGCGGGCCCGCCCGGCGCGGGGCTGGGCCTCCCCGCTCCGCACTGCCCCAGCCGGGCCCGGCTGAGCGGGGCGGCGGGGCCAGAGGCCTGCAGGGCGCCCGGCCCGCCGGCAGCGCAGCCCTGCGCTCAGCTCAGGGGCGCGGGAGGCAGAGGCCGCTTCCCGCGGGCGGGACCCGACAGCAGAGGGGGCCGCGCTTGCACGGCCGCCCGGGAGAGCGGGCCTGGCCCTGCTCAGCCCCTTTCTGCCTCCCCCCTTCCAGCTCCTGCCCTACCCCAGCCCCCGGCCCGGCTCCTCAGCCGGCACCTGCCCCTCGCTTCCTCGGGCCCCTGCACTGCTCCTGTCCAACTTGCTCAACTTGTCCATGCTGGCATCGCACCAAACCCATACAGTTTTTCCCACTGATTGATAAACTCTGAGCCTCCGGGGTTAAGTAGAACAGGACTGGTAATTATTTTAGCACAAAGAGCTGACACAAAAATATGCAGAATTGATACCAGCCCAGATCACCAGGCAGCCAGAGCAGCAGCCTTCTCCAAGCTGGGACTCAGCCCTGGCCCACTATTAGATTATGGGTTGACTTTGTAAAAAACATTGTATTAACCAAAACTCGAAAGTGTCAGATTTTCCAGAGAACCCAACTAATCAGTTAGGCTTCCATTTTCTATGAAAGCACAGTAAATCTGGAGTTAATTCATGGTGAAACATTTTTTTTTCCCCCTTAATCTCCCCTGAGCACTAAACCCATGAAATGAGTTTAAACAAAAGTCACTTAGCTTTAAAAACTTCAAATCTGCTTTTGTAATTAATTTTTTGATTGTTTATGAAAAACTTACAGTTCCGAGTTTAATTTCCAGAATTCCACCTGTCAGAATTACATTGTAATCTAAAAGCAATAGACTGCACCTGTAGTACCACGGTGTGGAAGATTCCAAACAGTAAATGCCTGCTTTAGATGTTTATAAATGGAAAGGCACTCATTTATCATCTACTAACTTCTGTTGAGCATATTGCTTGATAGGAATTTTAGATCACACAGCTCTCAAACACACCCTCAAGAAATATGGCGTAGTTTCCATTGTAAATTGTATTAGGAGGCTATATCTTATTAGAACGAAATTAGGGATAATTTATTGTTGATAGAAAAATGCAGGACTGGAAGGCAATCACTTGAATTTCATAGTGATTTTTTTGTTTGTTTTTTTTTTTTTTTTACTATATTGTTCATGTTCCATTGTAAAAGCAGGTAGATCTTTTGCACCATTATTAATTTTTAAAAAGCAATAATCTCACTGTCTAGTTAGAATTATAAATGGCTTTCATATCCATTTTCTCTTGTGTTAGCATCTCTTCCCCTATGAGTTCCTCTTGCCTGACAAAAATACTACACACAGTTCTGGATGAGGTCCTCTTTTAGCATCGAGACACAAAATTAAAATGTTAGTCAAAATCAGTGCCACACTTGATCCTCGAGGGAGTTCACTAATCACCTCTGGTCAGCTATACAGAACTCCTTTGAACACTGATATTTGTTACTTTGATTTTTTCAGTTCCTCACCCCCTCCCCCCATCCATCACTTACAGCATTTGTGAAAATGTCCACTTTAACTGGAAGATTTTTTTTTTTTTTTCCCATTGCCCTGCACCAAATCTTTTACTGAATTTCAGAGAGACTAGAGATATTGCAACTCCCTGTTCCAGGGAGTCATTTATCCTGTCAAAAAGAGATACTAGCTTGGCACAAACTACCATGATAAACTGAAGTCATATTTATCACATTTTCAAAATACTTCCTGTACACACACAGAAAGTCAGGACCTTTATAAAATGCAGCCAGGGTCTGCTGTTTTTCAAATCATGCCAGTAGGTGGAACAGTGACTGTTAAATGTGAAGTATAGAAGGATCCCAAGACGAAAACTGAGAATCCCTCTGCCTGTCGAGGGTCCCACTGCAGATAACCCTACCCACCAGTGACAGTCATGCTCTTTCTAGCAGCTGGGTTGACCGCAAGTATGGCCAGTAAGAAGAAGCCTGATAGTCTGGTGACAACTGAATTAGGTGGTTGGTTTATTTTAAATTTTTTTGTAACAAGCTGTTATCAGCATAGGGGCTGGACCAATACAGTGTTGTTTATAGCTGATCCATGGACTCTGAAACAGCTTTCATTTCTTAAATGTTTCTTTCACTCTTCCGTCAGCAGGACCCTACCCAATCCTAGGTGAATGCAACAAATATAGCACAGCACAGATGTCTAAGGAAAAGGGTATCAAAGTTCAAAATGCTGCTGGGTGATAACAGCACTTTCAGTTGGTTGAAGTATCACTTTGTACTCCTTTTCTGTTCTTAATACTCCTCAGGGCAAGGTTGATACTGCACCCTCTGCTTCCGGTGCTCCAGCTTTGTAAGGTCACTATCTCTTTGCTAATCAGCAGTTCCAGGTCTACCTTCATTAAAGAACTTCTTCCTCAAGAAAGAGCTAATTTCCATGTTAGTATCTCCAGCCAACAACCATTCCCTAGCCTTCTACAAGTCAGAATTTATGCAAGGGTGCCAGGACCCAGGATGAGCACAGGGAGCCAGCCAGCAGCACTGTGCTGCTCAGGTTTGCCAGAATGTCTCTAGTTTGACCCTCCTGAAGTTTCTGTCTAGGCCTCCTTGTATTCATGCCATTCTTGCCCAGACAGTCTCTCATCTGTAGAGCTCCCTGCCTCTGAAGGACCAGATAATGCATGCACTCTTGGGTATATATGAAGTACAGCAGCTCTGAGTGCACAGCAAACGTGTTTTTCAGAGACTAAATCAACATCTTTACTCATTTTTCTGGATATGGAAGAAGATCTCAGGTACAGAACCTGAGAGCAAGCTGGAAGAGGAGGATTACCCTCTTCTTACTTGCAGTGTACCAGCAGACTCCTAGAATGCCAGGTGTTTGAGATCAGTGCTGGTTTTAGGACAGGCTGGGACATACTGATGCCCCATGCACTTCTGCAGGTCTCCTTTGCTTCCTTCTGTCTGAACAGTCGATTTTGTTTGTAGGGAAAATTGGCTATCCAGGACATAGGAGAGGGAGAGCAAATAAACTCTACCTGTCACCTTCCCTGTACATCACCAGTCAGATAGGAGAGCTGCTTGCACCAATGAAGCCGCTCCAATACTACAGACCCAGAGGAGGCTCTGGCAGAAATGCAATTGGTTTTCAGCCAGAGATCCCTTGGGGAATACAGAAACTTTGGGAAGATGGGCAGAGGGCCTCGGAGGAGACTTTTCCCTCCAACTCACTGAATCCACTTGCCAGTCCCATCAGAAAAACTGCAACTGCAAGGAAATATCCCCTTCTCCCCACTATTTTGCTGATAAAGTGGTACCTGGTTGGCAAGATCTCACACCCTTTTCTCCCCACATCGTCTGTATGAAGTGTCTCATCTCCCAGTCTAGATGGCTTCAGTCTGCCAGACCATATATCACATCCTCTCCTCCCTCTATGCACATTTGAACAGGCAGATGGAAGCAAAAGAATTTTTATAGCTTCCCATCTTCTTCATCTGTCATCACCACTGGCGGCTCTCAGTGTGGGGCTGTTTCTAGCAGAAGACATTTCTCCATGTTCCCTCCCGAAGGAGAAGGAATAAAAGCAAGATGGTGTTTGATGTGGTGCTTGCCATGTTCCCCAGATTAGAGTCAGTTCATTAGTATTTGAATAGGTACTCTAAATCAAATTAAATAACTTTCCTGGCAGCCTTGAAGAACAGATTCAGTGGCAAGGTGTGATTTAAGAGTAGGCGATGACCCAGTGCTGGCAGCTGAAAAAAAAATGAAGCATTTAAAAGCAGATGAAAAGAATATATTTACTTTTATAAAATTTGCAGCATTACGGGCTGCATACTTGGGGCAGGTTCACCCAGGCTGTATATATGGGACAGGTTTGCTCAGAGAGATCAGAGGCTGCATCTTAGAAGCCGGTGATGCTAAGCTAGTTCAACAGGAAGAACTGCACAAGCTGTGACTGATCTTCTCCGCTTGAGATGGATCGTATACAGAGGTCTTCTTCTTACTGCAAGTAGCTAATTATAAGAACGCACTGACTTTTACCAGCAGTGACTAAAACTGTGAATGGCTTTGCAGCAAATCTGATTAATAATTTTGTTGCTTAACCCACTCCCACCCTCCAAAGGAAAAGGTTTTAAAATGCCATTTGTTCAGGGCTAGGAATTGCCAACTGTAATGGATTTTTTCCTTGTTAGTTTTGAAATGACACATGGGTCTAGCAATTGCTCAGAATTAACCTTGAAAATAAAAGATCTAACAGAAGGGTTAAAGTTGCTCAGCTAAAGCAGTAGGAAAAGAGGCAGGATGGAGATTAGTAGAGACTTCTTTCAAGTCTACACGTGACTATTTTCTTTTTATTCTGACAGGCAATCAAATGTTCAGTTCTTTCCATGTTGCAGTGCTCAATTATCTACCCTGATTTTCTACATTGGCATATTAGTGGATGCATCTCATTGTGTAGAAGACCTTCCTGACAGCCTGGGAAGTGATCTGTGGAGCTGTTGTGCTCAGACCTGCATGCTGGTGAAGGCTTAATATAAAATATTCTCATTTGCTGAAACCAAATCAAGTAACTCCAAATGAGGCATTCAGAAGTAGTGAGCACCTTTCACTGTGTTGCGGAAACTCCCAAAACACTTCATAAAAAAAGCAAAATTTATTTTTATACACAATTAATCAACATTCTGCAAACATACAAACAACAGGTCCAAATGTCTGTGAGAGGAGAAAAAACTATCACCACACAAATTTCTGGGGTTTAACAACCACCCAAAACACCAACCAGGGGTTTAACAACAACCCAAAACACTCAATCACTCACCTAATACAAGGTGAGGACTCTCAACCTGGAGGAACATCTCAGGGCAGTGTCCCACGGGAGGTCTTAGGAAGGTGAAGAAATCAGTAACTCTGGATTCATGGAGTAATTTGCAACAGGAATGGTCTAGTACCCTACATTAAACATCCTAGGAGATGAGACAAAATACTAGTCTGAGCACTGTTCTCTTTG